TTTCAGAACAGTCCTGAACATACAATGGCAAAAATTTTAGGAGAAAAAATGGTATATTATTCTGTCTACCAAGCAGACAATGGGCCTTCTGGAACAACTGAAAAACGAAACAGAGGAGGAAACACTAACATTTCAGCTGCACCCAATGCCTAAAGCAAGCTGTGGGCCATGTTGAAATGGGATTTTACAGAATTTGTTCCCAACACAGTTTGCAGCAGTTGTCAGAATAAACTCTGAGGAACACACAGTAGGCTCATTTAGATGCACTAGCACAGCAAGGAATCTTTGTCTTATTTTAACACTTGGGGGGGAAAAAAAAAAAGAAAAAAGAAAGCAGGTTTTCTGAGTATGTTTCAAATCTAGGGGTGTTAAATTGAGACTTTTTTAAAAAGTCACTACCATAAAACTAACACCAGGTTCCTCATCCTTCAGATATCAGTGTAGATCTACAAAGTGTTCATTTCTAAAAGAAGAGATGGGGAATTTTAAATGACATCTTAAATGCACAGCTAAAAAGAAGATACTGAGACACTGCAGAGTAGCACTATCTAAAAACAATAACTACTAGTGTCCATAAAGTGCCAGCTTTCAGCAAGGGAATGACTGTGCTTTAACAGGAATGGTCAGTCATGCTGCTATTAAGGTCATACCTGAACATCTCACAATACAATCGACCCAAGAAGCCATTTGCAAACCCTGTGCTGCTTGAAGGACGCACAGGAATCAATAACTTCAGGTTTCTATTCTGAATTATTCATTCAGTCTTTGCACAACAGAAAGCTGTTCTCTCTCTAATGCACTATCACTGCAACACAGAACATGATTTTGAACACTGTGCTTTAAAACAATAGTTTTAAAAGCATTTTGTCCAGCTACTTATAAATGTTTCTTGCTCATAAGACCTTCAAAAATTACTTTTGGAACAATTAATGACTGTGCAGGGATGCTGCCCATTCCTCCTATCAGCAGCATGCTTCTCCCAAGGTCCAGTCAGTCAAGGGTCCCAAAAGCCAACCCACCCTGTCAGTGCCATGAACAGTACAGCTCTCCCTCTCCAGGGAGCTGCTCAGGTACCCAGAGGCCCATACTGCTGCTAGAAGGTCAGCTAAGAGGCTCTCTACAACCTTTTCCTCCATGAGAAGGATGATAGTTTCCTTAGTAGGAAGATACTTGGGTGTTCACCATACCACTAGCCAGTTTTTGGTTGCCTTGCCTTCAGTCCTAATTTCTGGTAAAGAAACTTAGAATAATATCCCATTTAATTTGTCAGGACTAAGATCTGGCACTACAAAATTATTTTTAAATTGATTTGAGAAAGGAACTGAACAACAAAGAAGAATTTGCCTGCTTTTACTCCTTTTTCATCATCAACTTTTTTCATTTTCTGACTTTCATCTCATCTTCCACCTGTATTTCAAACTAGCCTCACTCTTTCCTTAAATTTTGGGGTTTGGGATTCAAAGGATGTCAGGAAGAATTTCTGGGCTTTCCTGGAAGCTGGATTTCTCTTTAGGTGATTTAGAACTATGCAACCACTACACTAAACCCCTTGCTACCACAAATGTACCTTTTCTTGTCACATCCAGGATTACTTACTGCTCTAGCAAGTACTAGAATTTAACATCTTATTTTGGCAGCAGAAAAGTGAAATGCTTGCTAGAAGCAGAGGGCAGTTCAGAGAAGAGAGGAGACCTCTACCCCATCACCACACTACTTTGGCATGTGAGTTTCTCCCTGGAAGCTCATACCACAGCAGTAGCAGAGTCTAAAGTCCAATATCTCACCTCTCCAGCCCGTATGTCAATAAGACACAAAAGATAACATTTAAACTGGAGCCCCACATCAGACAGTAAACAGTAGCCTTAGCAAGGCCAATGCTCTAATCAGTCCTCAGAAAATCTGTTATCAATTCAAAAGAAAAACTTCAGCATTTAAAAAATGTAGTGACCGTCCACTTCATCTTAAACTGTGGAATTCAAAGATTCAACAGCTGAATTTTGCACATAATACATTATGTACTTGTCTCTAAAACTATGTATATCAAAATAATTAGCACGAAATATTTCTGCAATGACTATGTTTCTAGTTTAGCAAAGCACACAACATGAGACTAATCTTACACACTGAATTTTAAATACTACGCACTTATAGGCTTTGAATCCAATGCAACTAGAGATAGGCAATGGAGAGCAGAATGGTAAATATTTACAAGTTACTCAGTGAATCACAGACAGATCAATTACAAGAGTGACAGTAGGCTTCTTTGCCAACCCCCAAAGAATTATGGTAACTAGTAAAAGCACCATTTCTGCTGACCTAGAAAAAAACCTCTATAAAGGCAAGTTCTGGTATTTCCCCAAGAAGTGCAGGAGAATAGAAGATCAATTAAAATTAGTGAGGAAAGAACTAAACAAGCAGGGAAAACATAAAAAGAGATGAGAAAAGAAAAATAGAGAAAACAAAAAAAAAACAAGTAGGGGACAGAGAAAAGAAACAGGGAAAAGAGAAAAAAAAATAAGAAAGAAAACAAATGAAATTAAAATGTGATCCGTCCCCATGCCCATAGCAGGGTCCTGTCCACATATATGGTCTGGTGTTTGCCATGATCTCTCATAACTTCCACGATCACCTTCATCTTTTCTGCTTCTTGTTGAACCCTACACAGCATCAGATAAAAGCACACCGACCTTTTTCAATCAGTGGAACAAAAGCACTTCTGAGACACAATTCACTTCCCCTTAGGGAGATGCCTTATGGGTAGACATCTATAAGGGCTTGTTCCCTCTGCTACCTACTAAAGAAACCCGGGTAACCAGCTCACATAAAGCTATTGAGATGCCTGAGATGAGACAATTCCCACCTTCATTTGTGTGCAACGAGTTATGTGCAGTGAATGGGCAAACATGAGTTGCATGTTTTGTACTAAATCCAAGGTACATGAAAACTAGGGCTCAACTTCAACTTAATGCATTGACCAGGACAGGTCCAGTATCTCTGCTAGAAATTCACTCATTTATTGTGCTCTTTTTTCTACATTCCCTCCATTATATAATATTTTCTAAATACACCTTTGTGTCTTAAGAGAAAGCATCTGAAGGTTTGATTTTAATTTCCATCCAAGTCACTGTTCTAGAAAAAATGCTCTAAGAACAGAAATTTGACAACTGTATCACCAACTGCTTTCAAACTATTTCCAGAAGATAAAGCTGAGTTGCTACATAAATTCCAAGTTAATGGAAGAGCTATAGCCAAACTATATTTGTATAAGTTAACTATCCTTTACTTGAATTCTAAAGTGAGCAATCCAAGATGAAAATCAGTGCCAGCAATATACACAGACACACATTATTTTATCTATCTGTATCTATACCTCTGCAATCACCCACAGTGAGAACTACCTGAAAATGAAGGCCTAAGGCCATTGACATTGGCAAGGAAGGCAACAGGATTTAGTGTGAGCTCTTTACTCTGATTTTCTTAGGGGTTTAGAGTCGAAATCTTTTTTAAGCTACTCTCAAGAGGTTGACAGTACGGAAATCATGACTGTGCATGTTTTAGAAGGGTGTAAGACAATGGTATATAGAAATATCATTATCAGTACACTGCTCTTCTGTAAAAATATGCACTGTTTTTAACTTGTATTAAAGCACTGCTCTCCAAAAATCTTCCGACAGGCTTTTCCCCATCCCACAGATGCATTTTTTAAATGCATCTTTAATATATAAAAAGATTAGTAGCCTCTACAAACATGACAACAATTACCCTCAGTTAGAAGAATAAATGCCTGATGGCTAATTTGGATATTGCATTTTACTGCCAGGTACTGGCAACCTTCCTGGATGTTTTTTTCTTTAAATCTAATTTGTTTGAAGTACTGGACAATGGATACATTTCTTACACCATAAACAGGAGGCAAAATTCAGAAAGGGAAGGCTGCAGACCTGCCTTTTGTCTTTTCTCATTAGCAAGTAGAAGACTTCTGCAAGGACATGGGGCCACTTCGATGTTTCAGGATTACAGTGAGGAGGTATCTGCATAGAAAGGGCCCTTGGAGCAGCTGTTTCTATACAGCATGTTTCCTTTGGGTCTAGCAAACCCACAAAGGAAAATCTACTGGTATGAGCCATCCTGTGACTGCAGGCTCACCCTGCTCACAGAAAGGTGGCATGCTACTGCTCTAAATACAAATGCAAGGAGATCTTTCCAACAGTGTCTGAAGATTGTACTCATTAATTAAAACTCAACTCTGACAGTTTGCAGATACATTTTTATTTAATGTGACTCTTACATGAATTCGACCTCGGAGTTGGGGGGCATATCAATGCAAGTTATGTTAAATAATCATACAATCTGTTTCTCCAAAGAAATGTCTGGGCTAGACAGCTGGCACTGAGACAGCAGATTAAATTTAGAACTGAAAGGCCATACAGTGAAGGTGAATTCAGCTTTTAGTTATCTGTCAATTAAAAGTTGTACATGTTGTTAAAATAATGTGCTTTGTCCCTGAAGCAAAGTTCACTGCTATTCAAAAGAAAGATATTGAAATGTGAGTTTTGTCTCTAGAATCTTCTATTTCTAATCCACAAGTAGCATACTAATGCCACAGGATGATCTGGACCTCTCTTTCTCAAGGTCATTTCCCCATCCACAACATGGTACTTAAAATACTTTTTTTTTTTCTCATTTGCCTTAACTATGGTACTACAGCCATGACATACTAATTCCAGAAAACAGTCAAGCCTTATAGAAAGAAATCATATCTCTTAAACTTCGACTCATTTTAATTTCAAATTCAAATGCTCAATTAGATCACCTTGGGACATTAGACAACAGCATTTCAATTCCCCCATGACTCCCCAAAGACAAAGCACATGCATAAACCTCACAATTTGAGATCTTCCTTATATGTAACACAGCTGCATCCTGACACCAAACATGTAGTAAAAGACACAATTGCTGCTGTAGCAATCAGTCATCCAGACATGACAGATATAACTGACCTTCATGAGATGCTGATTTATCCATTTTGTGAACGTCTTCTTTTGTACTTTGTCCCGCTCATCTAGAGGTAAAAAGGAAAAAGAATAGGGTTTAACAGCTCTACAAGTGATGCAGAAGATTTTTTTTTATTAAGAGATTTATAAAATTAATATTCTAGTAAATTTATAAAATTTAAATTTTCAAGAGCTCCAAAATGTCTAATCAAAATAACAGCACATAAAAGTTTTTGCAGTACATCACAGCATGTACTGAAAAAGTTTCTTGAAGCTGCAGTTGAGTTCCTTCAGGATAATGGTTCCACAGGTACAACATCAGGACTACTAATAAAAATATAACTTCCTAGGAGAAGTCAACTGCCACTCAAATTGTACTTAAAAAGTCATGGTAAATTTTTAAGAGCTATAAATACTACTCATAGCCTCTACAATCAATTACTTACTAAAGTACTAGGCAATGGAAAATCTCTTACCACATGAAAGCTAACTTTTTTAATCACCATGCTTTTCAACTGGAATATCCCTTGTTCCAACACACAGGGATGAGTTACAGCTTCAGTCAGAGAAAGTACCCTCCTTTAATTCTCTTTAAAATCAACAGGGATGTCCACTAACCCAGATATGGGACCCAGCCACTTTGAGCAGTTTGCTCCCTGGCACGGCAGTTAGCAGCAATGATTGCCCACAAAACAGTGTGGAGATATAACAGAAGTAACAGACTCAGGGTAAGAAAGCATCCTACTTATAGATAGGAAGCATATACGTGAATTCTACTCAGAGGAAAACTAACCACCACAAGATTTATCTCCAGCAACCTATGTAGGGTCACGAGCCAGTACAACTGCTACAGAGCCCGTTCACAGTCCTGGAGCTACCCAGAGCAGGAGTCACGGGGCATTAGGACCAGGACCATCTGTGCAAGCCTAAAATAGCAAGATTCCTTCTGACCCCGTACAACACAACTGCAGCTGTTTCATTGACTCAGGCTATTTGCAGTGTGGCTGAGAATGAGCAGTGAGCTCAGGTAGCAAAACAGGACCCCTCTGCACCTATTGCCATCACTAGAAGACTGATTCAGATCTTGTATTTTACATTTTAAAATACTGTTTTCAGGTTAGTCAAAGAGAACAATAAATAAAAATAAATTGACTGAAAGTCTTTCAAGTACTTTCAAGTTTCTGGTGTGATACTGAGGTCTTTCAAAACAGCATGACATCATACAAGAGTACATGTTGGGCCAAACTGAGCACTGCATGCTGCTCCTAACACTAGTGAGAAATTACTTTTGGGGAATAAATGCAAAAACAAGACAAGTAAAAGCCTGTGAAGCCTTTGTATAGTCCTCTCTCATGTTACTCACAGACTTTCTACATGCTCATACATATCTTTGCATTTAAGAGCATTAGATGCATTTTTTCCTGTTATTTTTTCCAATTCTTTTTTAACACACCTATCACTTTGATATCCACAGCTTACTGTGACAATGAGATCTTCAGGCAGTATGTGTAGTTGTATATTTGGCTCTGTACAGAATAGTTGCTGATTCCTAAACCCCTTTTCCACACCACTCAAGATCTTCTAAACTACTGGCATATGATTTTTTCCCCACTTCACAGCTTTACATTCTCTTATTCTACTTGAAGACTCAAAAAAGAGGAGAAATAGAAAAACTAAAGAGCAAAGCTGCACTACTGGGAAAAAAAATTGGCAGATTAAGAGAACTTTTTGCTATATACACTTCCCTATAGCCTTCATCTAGCAAGACATCATTTCTGGTATCAGTTATTTACCCTAATAAAGTGGGAGCTCTGATTTAGTAGATGTAGAGAACAGAAAATCTCAGAAATAAGAGAAATCTAGAAACACTTTCACTTTTAACTGTTCCATTATGGGCAGCTCTTGTAAAAGGAACACAAGGTTTCTCAGCTGCAAAATTTCACAATGTGTACAATGTGTCTTTTCTCCTCAGGTAACCTCATCTGGTTTTGACCACACAGAAGTTTACATTTTGGGAAATGTTACTGTGACAACAGTTAAAAAAAAAAAAAGAGTTGAAAAAAATCCACTTGTATTTTGTTAAGCCTATGGAGTCACTATTAGCTTCAACACTATTTTCAATTAAAATGCCAACATTCATAAAACAAGTGATACTTACTACTCTTGTTCCTTTTATACATACATATGTATTATACAAACACTCACAGAAAAATTCTGTGACTGACAGACACGAATGTGCCATGAGGAGGAAAGCTGACACCTGTCATGTTATGAAAAACACCATAATTAAAGGAAGGAAAGAAAGTCATCAAAACAGAATCACAGAATATTGAGTTAGAAAGGACCCACAGGATCATCGAGTTGAACCCTTAAGTGAACGGCTCATACAGGGGATTGAACCCATAACCTTGTCATAGTTAGCACCAAGTTTTAACCGATCTCAGTGTCACACCTCACTGTGATTTTTATCAAAAAACCAAATGCTTCCAGAAAGGTAAAAGCATACTAAGAGGAAAATACAGTGCAACAGTGTTCAGTGTGCTCCAGCTCAGAGCAGAACACACCAAATCAAACTCCCCAAATGAAGTAAAAACCAGGGAAATTACAAAAAAAATGAAACACTAATTAAGGAAAGAAACCCTCAGAAAAACCCTTGAGAGAAGCTTCCCCCCAGAGAGCTCTGCCCCGTCCCACAGGCAGCCCTGCTGCCCTGCCAGCCCAGCTCCAGGCTGCATTACTGACCCATGCAGCACATGACTTCCACCAGCCTGGCACTCTCGTCCTTTTCATCTTCATCAGACTGTCTCATTGCCCTCTCCAAAAGTTCAGACCTTCTTCTCTTTTCAGGGCAAAGGAGAGCCAAGGAGTGACCAGGACTTCTAGCTGACACAAAGTAGCAACACCCCTTTTTAAAAAAAAACAGAAGCAAACAGCCCATGTGCTGTCAGAGCAAGCAAAACTGCAAGCCCTCTGGCTTTAACTCAAATAAGAAATAAATTAAGCATCTGCATTTGTTTGTTTTGAACTTTCAGGTGCATTAATACACATTTGAGTGCAAATGCTGAGCTTTTCAAACCAGGAAGTCTGTTTTTAATTCTACCAGCAGTGAACAGCAAGGAAAGAGCGTCACCATGAACGCAGCAGCAGAAGTGCTGTTTAAGCCGAGGTAATTTAAGAATGCAGGTAAAGCAGGAGCTGCAGAAAGAAAGGACATATTCCTACATCATCTGTTATGTAGATCAACACAATAAACCCTCAGTAGTTAATTAATCAACTTAAGTTTGTCTGCTTTTACCTATTATTGCAGACATTAATGTGATGTATCAAACAAACTCAAAGTCTCCTGTACTTTATGTGCCTGGAAAGTGCCTCAACAAAATGTCTCCAGTCTTAATAAACTGACAACCTACTTCATGAACCTATACTACAATACAGAAGCATCTAAAGAGGCTCCAGATTAGAGTATCTGCACTTAAAAAACAGTTGCTGCAACTAAGGTCTCTTGCTCTGTGTTCTTGTCATTCCTCAATTCCAGGCACAAATTCAGGGGCCAGGTCCTTCTAATACCAATATGAATCTCTATCACCTACATGGTTCACAGTGTCTGGAGATCAGGACAGTTTCTCTGGAAGAGAAACAGAACTATACCAAAGGTGACACATGGCATTGATGCCTCTTCAGTGGTCTCCTAGGGAGAATCACAAACCCATTGAGTCTGGAAAAGATCTTTAAGATCATCAAGAGCAACAGTTAACAAACAACTAAATCATGTCCCTAAGTGCCACATCTTCATGTCTTTTAAATCCCTCCAAGGATGGTAACTCAATTATTTCCCTGGGCAGCCTGTTTCAATGTTTGACAACTGTTCTGTGAAGAAATTCTTCCTATGTCCAACATGAACCTCCCTAGGCCATTTCCTCTTGTTACTTGGGAGAAGAGGCCAACACTCGCCTCACTACAACCTCCTTTCACGTAGTTGTAGAGAGCCACAAGGTCTCCACTTAGGCTCCTTTTCTCCAGGCTAAACAACCCCAGCTCCCTCAGCCATTCCTCATCAGACTTGTGCTCCAGACCCTCCACCAGCTCCATTACCCTTCTCTGGACACACTCCAGAACTTCAATGTCTTTCTTGTAGTGCAGGGCCCAGAAACGGACACAGGATTCAAGGTGCAGCCTCACCAGTCCCAAGTCCAGAGGGACAATCACTTCCCCTGTCCTGCTGGTTGTGTTATTTCTGATACAAGCCAAGATACCATTGGCCTTCTTGGCCACCTGGGCACACTGCTGGCTCATGCTCAGTCCCTGTGGATCAGCACACGCAGGTCCTTTTCCACCAGGCAGCTTTCCAGCCACTCTGCCCCCAGCCTGTAGTGTTGCATGGGGTTGCTGTGATTCATGTGCAGAAGCCACTGAGTGCTTCTCTCTACCTGAAGGCATACATGAAATCTTCTCTGAGCAATCACAGCAGATGCCACCAGCTTGCATGAGCAAGCTTGTCTCCACTTCTCTCCACACCAACATAAAAATATGCAAAATAAGCGCAGCAATACAAACTCCTCAGTTTCCAGATGAGCTGCAAATTTCTACGCTTCTTTCTCTGATATTTTCACCATTAGAATGAAGTCTGGAATTCCTACACCTAGTGACAGACTTACTAAAAAAAAAAATAAATCTCCTTTTCTTCATCAGCTTTGAGTATTGCTGTTATGTTTGCTTCTCTGCTGATATTTGTTTGCCTGCATGAATGGTCAGATAGTTAACAGGTTTTTCTACTTTTGTCCAGGTATTTACAAAAGCCCTGAAAGGTATTTTTCCTATGTTTATATAAGAAAGCTCATATAATACTCATAAAACTCACTTATATTTACATTCACGTATAAATGCACTATTTTTCTGCACAAATTGTTGCTATAATACCTATTTATATTAAACTCAAAAAACTGTGTTAAAAGAACATTACTAGGGTTGCAAAGGGAAGCACTCAAAAGTAGAGTTATAATGAACTAAAACTGGCTGTGAAACCTTAATACAACCTTCTTAGTAATATACATTATATTTAATTACACGG